GCTCAAGTTTGCGTAGTATATGTCCCAAAAAGTTCAATTGTATTTGTAGGACGTTCAAAATATCGCATACGTTTTGAAATTGATAACCATATCAGTAAAAAAAACAAAAAAAAAAAAAAAAACAACAAAAAAAACGAGGTGAAAATAGAGAAACGGCTTATTGTAGATTCAATAAATAGAAAGAAACATTTTTGTGATGTTCGGCTTCAATTTTTTAGCTCTTGGTAAAAGGCAAACTTTACCGATGGACTGAACGAGCAAGCAATAAAGGATTGCGTTGTCCTTCCACAGAAATGAACGTAGGCTATCACAAACATTCTATAAATCACTGTGATGGTAATATATAATTATCTCATCGTATACATTTAGTACCAAATCATTATATGGTTCCAAACACACGTTCTTTCTACTGATATCAGAGCCCTTAAGTATATGAAAAATGGCTGGCAAATATCATTATTTTTCACATTGAAATATTTGACTTGTAAATTGTGGACGTAGGAGAGTCCCTTCAACATTCCTTACGGTCTATTCCCAATGAAACTATAGTTCTAGTTAGATCGACCCAACTCCATGGGGACATTGTGAATGCGATAAGATTAAAAGGTTAACACGCCGCCTCCTGGCCTCGACTTAGAATACAGGAAAGCTGGCGATTATACGAGAACGCTAGAAACAAGAGGAGGTTCATTGGTAATGAGATCTTAGCTATATACCTTCTACTCCCACTCTTCAAATTAACTTAAGTATTTTACAATTTGTCTTCGTCGGACTAAGGTGACTTATCCACCTATCAAAACTTTATAAGCACGGTCTTCAATGGGGGATATCTTGACCTCCGCCATTTAAGTCAGTTATGGTGATGATCAAACAACAGAGGCGTAGATTGAGGAGAAATGAGGTACAGCGGCAAGTGTGACCGCCACATAAAAATATTACTCAATATTCATCTCTCTCTCTCTCTCTCTCTCTCTCTCTCTCTCTATGTGTGTTGTGTGTGTGTTGTGTGTGTTTGTTTGCTCGTGGTAGTGTGAGTATTTTGAATTTTGTTCTGTCGGGGGACAGGGATTTTCACATTACACTTCTAACGATTCAAAATATAAGCTTTACATGTGAGGGAGTATATACGGTGATATCTGTTGCTTCTTGCAGTCTGATAGACATGCAAGGCTTAAACATATGAGTTTGCTTTGGTTTCACTAATTAAAGATATTAATAAATGTTTCTTATAAGTTCTCCTTATTTCTTCTATTATCTTGTAAAAATCTAATGATCACATTTTCGCACAGGGAGTTGGAATAAAAATGCCTGCTTTCTTGTGCTATACGGTACTTATACATGGCAGAGAAGTTGACTGTCAGTATATTGTACAGGGAGAAATGCCGTCATGCAGTAGTGACATGTAAAAAAAAAAGCTCTTTAGTAAGGAAAAAAAGCGAAACGCTATTCAAAAAGAGAATGAGAGTAATGAGAATTGATTGAGGTTTGTTTAAAAAGTTCGGCATTTTGAAAGTGTGAGAGCTTGGTTTAATTGGGTTCGCATGGGTTTTTATACCCTTTGCAGCAAAGTAAGGAGGGAACTTGGTCCATTTATTTATTCATTTACCTGTCCATTTATTTTTTTTTGCGAAAAAAATTAATAAAACAGACCCCTTGTCCCCTTAGCAGCTAATGTGTGCTAATATTCATCTAACACTCCCAGTAAATAAAATCTTTCAAAAATTTTTGACTTAGATGTACCAGTAACATCTTTTTATAAAACCTCGGACAAATAAAGGTCGGGATATCCATTACATAAACACATTATGGAAATACATACAAAAATAAGAAGTGGGCGTTTGTCATATACCAATGCCACGCGCCGCACATAATTCATCTGTTGATAATTATCAGTACGCCTCAGCAAGTTCGCCCAATTGTAAAGACACTTAATGTATACGTTTAAAGATTATGGTGCTTTTCAAGGCTGCAGTTGTCCTGTGAATAAGAAAAATATAACACTGGCGATACATGTACATGACGGACAATCAGAAGTTGTTTTCACAGAGGTTGATTATGATATTATGATATTAAAGGTAAAGATTCTTGTTCTGGCGTATTAGATTAAAGAAGTAAATGTGCCTTATATTTTAACAGCTCTTAAAATTCGTATAACGCCGACAGGAAAAATAACGTATAGAAATGACTGAAAATGTCATTTATATGTAATACTTCATATAACATAAAATATAAAAGAACTTTGAAAACTTTTAATAAAGCGCTATCTATCAATCCGACTTTAATACGATATACATTTTCCACCAGCAGTTCAATTTATAATTATTTTCATTGCAAAGAATGCAAGGCAACAGCAAGTGCAGCAAAGTGCCTCATTCTTTTCTAAAACTTTATATATCCCACGACTTATTTTTATATATCTATTAATCTATCTACTTAACTATCTTTTTATGAATGAAGTGATGGATCAGAAGTATCTTTTGACGACATTTATGGTCCTCGCCTGCTTTCTTATAATATATGTACATAACGCAAGATTGGCATCAAGATTTCTGAGAAATGGGGCACTTTAGAAGCGGTGGGACGTGAAAGAGAAATAAAAAAATGGCTTACATGGCCTGTATATCCTGTACTTCACAGTAAAGGCGAGGCCGACATTCAGACAAATGTGCAGACAAAAATAACATTGTAAAGTTGTCATCACTACATCATTTTTGACAGATTTGCCTGTAAGGTGGACCGAAGGAATTGCTTACACATTCTGAATTTGTTTTTTTTTTAAATAAAATCAAAAGCTTCCCCTTGTATTTCTTTCTGGACGCATATATTGTCATACATTTAACAAATACTTTACAGGACTTTTATCCTTCAAATTTGCACCTAGAAACGTTCTGAATGACACGCACAAACAGTTTACTTCTTTAAATTTACATGTATTTCTACACGGGTATATCCGTGTTGTCACAGTGCCATATTTGTGAAGTACAGGAAAAGCAATGCATAAGCTTGAACTAATGCAACATCACAATGGAAAGATGCTTTGGATGCTTAATCTATAAAAATCATGACAATGGGAACATTCTTTCTGAATATTTAAGGGTAAACATACATGTACCGTGATATTATTATGATTTTTTGACAGTGAGCCAGTATGCTTTCATTCTTCCTTGAACATGAAAAAAGTGAAAACAAATGGCATTATGAGATTTTCTCTTTAGTTATAATAGATATGGATCTATGTCAAAATTTTGTACATACTTCAAACATGAAATATGAGTTGAATGAGGTTTCTTTTGAACTGCTCTAATTCAGTCTTTACATTAAATAAAAGAATAATAAATGAATGGACCATGTTAATGAATTACTGGCGGCGTAGAATGAAGAAATAAAAAAGCGAAAATAATAAATCATCTCTCCCTTTTACATTCGCTTTCACCAGCATTTCATATGCAACATTATTACACATCTATCAAAAATAAAATTCCTTTGAGTGATCAATAAAATAAACAAAACTGGCAGAATTGGATCAACAAAATGCCTCTGCAGTCGCAACCCACAAATCACCTCGCACGTGAGGCGACCGTCCCCGTAAACAAGCCGGTGTCGAAAGAGGCGTGACAACTCTCATTTGGGAGCGTGACATGCCTTAACAATGGGCCGTTTATGCGCATCGCTCGCGGATCTTACCGCAGGCCCACTAACCACCGGCCTCTCGACGCTGGCGAGATGGACCGCTCGATAAGAGGGAGGAATTAAACGAGAGAGAGAGGAGGTTGGATGGAAATTATATATCTCGCCTTGAGTTTTAAGGCTGTCGTGTTTGGAGAAGTGGTTGTCTTATTTGTCGTGCTGTTTTTTCAAAAGCTGCATATCTTTTATTTGCTGTGACATAATTGACTTTAGTTAAGGCAACCCACAATGTTTGGGAGTACTTTTATTCAAAACTTACACTAAAATTAGTATTCCAGATATTAATTCTGTGTCGTGATGGCGTGTATCTCACTGTCCCGACTCTTTAGCCATTGGAGCAGTTTTCTGTAATTTTCTTCAGAACATTATGGCCATCATGACCCTGCTGTCGTAGTTCAACATACAAGTATACAAAAGCATTGTTCATTCATATTCCTCAGACCATTGACAACGACAACTTGTGGTGATTATGAATTGATGTAATGAGGAGAGAGGCATCTTGGTTTCTTCATACATTTGCTTTACGTCTTAATTGACACACGTTGTAATAAAGACGACATTTTTATCTTTTCACTTCTCCCAGTGCATATATACGATTATCACTGCTGTTTGAAGAGAAATTGTACTCAGCGGAACAAAGCTTCAGAATAGTTTGTAGCTCTCAATTGCTAGTGACATGATTAACAATTTTTTTTTCTTGTGCACATATTATTACAAGATATCAACAAATATATTGTTCACACCGCGTGTGATAATTCTGATTTTGCGCAGGTACTGATTAAATATATCTATTTGTTATCAATTTTAACTACAGCACAGAGCAAATAAGAAATACACTTTAAGACTTCTGGTAACTATTGCAAAGTAAAGTATACCACACGCATATGTATGAAAGGTCCTTCACGAGCGCAGCCGTCTGTAAAGAGACATCCGCAATTTACCGGTTGCTAATAAGGTGTCATATCGCACACCAAAAGGACACAAAATCAACGAAATCACAAAGGGCACACTTCAGAATATAACAATTATTCTTATCGGTCTAACTAGAGGAGCTCGTTGAGAGCAAATCATTATTGCCACTTTCACTATTATAGTTATGGTTTCTTTAACACCATATAGCCATAACCAAGATCATAATCATCAGAAAATGGACCCAGTAGGCATCATTCCTTAGCCATTAAGTAAAATAAATGCTAAACGTACAATTTGCTCGCAGGAGCTGTGACCTTCGACCGCCTCGCGCGCTCGCCGTTTGATTGGCTGAACTCTGCCCACGTGACGGCCATATCACACCATTTATGGCGACGGTGGGATATCGGGAGGCAGAAAAACCATTTGCTCCCCTGTTTGAATCATAATTCATCACCGGACGACCATTACGCGCACTAAAAACAATTTTAACGCGCCTACAAATCACAAGCGCGACAAATGAGCTCGTATTTTGTTAGTGCGATAGCAGGATCCTACAACCATGCCGGCCAGGGGGATGGGCCGGTTGGCCCGGGGGGTGAGCAGGACGGAGGAGGAGGAGGAGGGGTGGTGGGCAACCCCGCCGTCGATTTCAGTGCTCAGCTCGGCCACTACGGCTCCCAAGGATACTTACCGCCGGGAAACACGACGGCCTTCGGCTACGGCTCCACTTCCATGACGAGCATGCCGAGTACGGACTATTATAACCCGCAGAAGTACACAACCCATTCCATGAGCCCGATGGTGCTTCCTCACCAGTCAAGCGGCAGCAGTATGCCGCCTAACGGGTCCCAAGACATGTCCCGGGGGAGTCTCTCCTCCCCCTCACCCAGCGGGTATTCCCCGCCCACGGGCTACCAGAGGGCGTACAGCGAGCCCTCGGCTCAGCACCCTAGCGGGCAGGGGCAGGGGATGTCTGGCAGTCACAGCCCGCCGTCTCAGCAAGGTCTTCCAACGCAGCAAAACTACTCGCAGCCCCAGATCTACCCGTGGATGCGGAAGATGCATTTTGGACACGGTAAGCCATGGTACCTCAAGTGTGTTTTCAGTATATTAAATATATACAGGATATAATGCCTGCAATTTTGTTTTGGGTTCCAGGATGTCCATTTATTAAAACGGGTTCTGTCTGAAATTCACCTTAATTCACCAGCCAGAATTTATTAGCGAAATTACTTAGCATGTGAATCTCGGTCAGCCGATATATTCAACCTCTACCCCTTGAACATATCCAGCTTTAAGTCAGTGGTACCTACTCTAAAAATGACTTCTCCCTTATTTTCTAAAACCTTGTCTTATTACAATATATGAATATTATAATAATTCCAAATATTAATCAGCTATGAACGTATTGCCAAAATCATAAATAATGGCCGATTAAGCTATCAAGAAATCAACATATACATAGACTAATATTGCTTGTAAGTCCACTATTGTATACGACTCATACCCCACGTGTTGAAATATTACAATCTTTCTCCAGATCAGTATAATTACAAAAAAACCCAATAATTAATAAAACTTAATGATAAATATTTAAAATGGGACTGATGGAATACAATAACTAATAGTTACTATCCACTCGGAGTTTGAATAAACCTTTGTTGCAGAGGTACATCGTTTTTTTTTTTACTTACTGTATATTTACACATAGTTTGCCTATATTTCATGCGTCCGAAGCACCAACGACGAATAAAACTGACGTATATAGCAACACCCACCCTTAGCCACAATAACTGCATGCCCAGTATGATAAACTACAGTGATTAGAACCAAGTAATTGCCATTATTTTTACGCACAGTTAGTCAATTAAGTGGGGGAAAACTGATTGCTGGCGAAAGAAAAAATTATGGAGATGTAGAAACGGCTACGTTCTAGACACATACGTCAGTGTTGTGACAGAGGGTGCAGAATCCAAATTTTTAGTTATTCCTTACGCCTTCTGCAATGTGTCACAGACAGATTAGAGATAAAGCTTTTTTGGTGACAGTCCCAGTGTTTGCGTTCACGAACCTAATGCTTAGATTTTTTTGCCCTCTTTTTTATCAAATGGCCGCAACGACCACCACGATTAATAACAGTCCTTGCTTTGGAAATATTTCAGTATCATTATTTATTGTTTTTTAAAAGTCAAATTGACTATTTAAATGAGCAGCTTTTCGTGTAACAGAGCAGTTTCAATTTTTTTAAGCTATAGGCGTGTCGACGTACTTAACTCTTCACTAGACAGGTCATTGAAAGGTGAGAGAATTTAAAAAGGATCACGATGTCTCTTCAGTCCAGATATTAAACAATACAGACACAAAGGCAAGAGAATATAAAACTTCTTTACTCTACACTTTTGCTTCTTTGTATTCCTCGATGAAAACTAGCTAATAGATTAGTACACTAAATGGCGTGTGTAGTTTGGAATACACTATGTAGAATATTTTTAAATATTTTTAAAACAATTATATACCATTCCCAGTTTGCACATGTCCATTTTAACCTCTCTCTTTTCTAGCCATTTATTTGAATTACGTCGTCCATCCTGAATCTGGCGTACCTGATATATGCACATATTAATTCTGGCCCATATTCCTACCACACAAAGAACAAGGTAGTTGTTTCATGCTAACCCCCTACGCGTTAGGTTCATTTAAAGCAGGCGCACTATGACAAAGACCAGGGATTGTTTTATATTTCTAAATGCAATCATAGATATAAAAACCTTTCCATCTGTCAGGAAGATATGAGTTGTCACCATTGCTCAGAATTTCTGTCATTCTCTTTGAAAAATGGTGAAAGGGAAATACTATTTATATTAGTTAGGACTTTCGCATAATAATTGTCATAAGGATTTCAGTTGGAGCTTAGCTGAAATGTAATGTGTTTTGTTTTTATGTCAGAATTAAACGTTATTCATATCTAACTTCTACATAAGTCCACTCGATAAAAACACGCTAAAGTTGAAAAGAGGTAATTATTGTATTGATACAAATTACCATTCACCGCACATGAAATAGCCAAATTATGCAGCCTTTACCGCGTATATATGCAACACTAAAATGACGGCAGCAGATTCACCGGTTGCATAAAAACGTCTCTAAATCTAGGTAAATTTGTCTCCAAATATATTCATACTCTCCAGTTTATGGCATGTTCAGTTATCATTATCGTAGACCAGTATCAATCTTAATACTGTAAACATTTACACCGTGGTTCAACATAAAAATTGAGGTTTATTTATGATCCATGTGAAGACGACGCAATAGGTGAATTAATGATAGACTACCGTCATTTTCCTCGAGTAACTTATTTTCCCACGATATACACAAGCGAAGTATTGTATTTTGTAGTCCACCTTGTGCTTGTTAAATTGGGTACCCCGATGGAATTTTGTAAGGCCATATTTTTAGGGATGCGTTACAAAATTAGAATTTCTTCGCATACATTTAACAATGTGGAATAATACTAGGCCTTTTTCCTAATTCATTTGGTTTAATAATGTAGAAAACCACGGTGCGCGTTTTCATTTTAAGTGTTTCACATCTATGTATCTCTCTCTCTACTTTCTTTTAATTTATATATTGATATTTGTAAACTATCTTCTCTTAAACATCGCTTCCATTCTTAACAGCACGCTTGTGAACTAAGCGTAGTTCTTTTTAAACCGACGGACTCCACGCATTTTATTATGCCTTCATGTTTGAATCTTCTTACAATACTCGAAACAACATGCATACCTTCAAATTCAAATCATGTTTAATTGTCATTCTCTCGAACAATGCCAACGCTGTATCGGCCAACACGAGTTGACAGGCATTCCCGAGTTGACTTGAGGTACTAGGAGAGATAAGGAATGAAGTCGCGAGCCTCCACAAAGCCGGTACTTACCGAGCCACAAATTATCCCTTTCGCCGTCACCCGCGACATCTCGCCACGAGATAGCGATCGGGCTGTTACGGGTATAATTAAGTCTCTCGTAAGTGAAGGGTTTTAATCCTCGGTCCCGTGCCGTGTGTCTTGTAATGTACAATGTAAGCTTTATTCTATCTGGTCTAAGTTAAAGTTTGACATCAAAATCTGCCTTGTTATTCCTGGAGGTGGTAGTTTGCAAGTGAAAAAAGATGAGATAGATTCAATGAAAGGGCTCATAGACAAAGCGAAATTAATATTTGAATACTCAAACGGGTTTATAAAATTTACAATGTATACATTATTTTTAATACAAAATGCTTGGATGAAACACCTGGCAAAGTCAATATTAAATTAAATTTACTTTCCGTACTTGTTATGGTTACATAGGTTGATGCATTAAAATATAAATCAAGCTTTAGTAAAAACTAAGTCATATTTGATGAAAAATCTGCTTAGTGAAGGCGTCTTTTCTTGATATAGTTAGTATACTGTAGTTCTCGATGCTGAAGTGCTTGTAGTGATAAAAGCTACCTGAACAGTTTATAAAGAATGACGCACCAAGCTGTAATATTTCATCATATCTCAACTTCAGGGAGCACGATTAAGTGTCACATGGTCACAGTCTGACGTTAACGACTGCAATAGCGTTAATTTCTTTTTAAAATCACATTTGAATCGAAGAACATCTTTATTTTTGTCACATATTCATGATAGTGCATACGTCAATGTGTCCGTACACATTCGTTTTCGGATTACGAGGTGTTTGAAGGGAAGGGAAAGATGGAGAAGAAATGTTATTAATATTTTCTTTAATAATATAGATCATCTGCGTGGACAGATTGGGGATGGGGGGGGGGGGGGGTAGAGGGCGAGTGAAAGTATTAGTCCATTTTGTAACTGAATTGTGCCTCGTCTAATAACATGATAAGTTTTGAGGTTTTTCGTTTCTGTAGACAGAAAATTGCCTCTGTGACACCCCTGGGCTTAGATTTGTATATAATTAATTTTGTCACCTCCAGTTTTGTCCTTAAATATTTACCCAGAAGATATGTTGTTTCCGTGAAATGAAAATTACATTATTGAAAATATAAAATACGTTTGAATAATGGTAATAATTATAAATGCACACTAACATCAAAGTATGATCCAGTTTTGAATGCTTTTTTATTCATTTGGCCCCATTATTAGCAACCCAGGTTAAAGAATATATATATCTATATAACAATGTAATTCGAAAATGTTTTACTTGCGTTTTAAGCATAATTTTGCGTGAAATAATTCGCTATAATTCAAAGTTCTATAGGTACGTGTTCAAAATATAATAAGACGCACACATTTAAAACGCCCATCTTAACTTCTCACGACAAGTCATGTATCATCCATGGGCACTGTTGACCCATTTTTCTCTGCCCTCTATCAAATCTTCTATCAAATATCCAACCATATAATCATCCGATTAAAATCAATTTGAGTTAATATCTTTTTAAACACTTGAGCTGCTGGTTTACTACCAAACGACCATGCTTGGTAATATGATAAGTATGGAGGTTATATTTTCAATATGAAGTTAATTGACCCTACATGTACCACATAGTCAACAGAGAGTACAGTCATCAAGTCCCCGTGCAGATAATCGTTGTATCTGGTCGCACAGGGTGCGTTCAGACATGTTATCACTCAGACCGAATAGGTCCTAAACGGTCCAAATGATTAAGTTATTTTATGTGTACTATTTTTTTATATCTATAAAGCGATGGAGGCTATTTTTGGGTTCTTTATGTGAGTCGATTGACTAAGGTAATCAGTTGGATCATTCGCCAAATAATAAGGCCGGTTCGGAGAGAGGCCCACGGTCGGTTTCTCAGCCTTTTTTTTAACACAGCCTTTGAAGGTATGTATTTCAGCAAGAAAAAAAGTACAAATAACATGTGGTAGGTCATGTAATTTAAATACCAATTTGCCGTCTATAATTGACGGCAGTGCGTTAACGAGAGGTTTAACGCGTTACATAATGTCATGTTTGTATCATGTTTAAGTAATTGAGTAGTGAATACTCCTGGTCGCAGCCAGATGCATCCACGAAACTATGAGATACGAATATCTGCTGTCGTCACTCC